AGACCAAGGGGGGAGAATTGCTTGAAACCAAGAGTTCAAGACCAGCCTGGGCAACATAGTGAGGACTTATCTCTACAAAAATAGAAAATAAACAGAATTCCTTACTTGTTGAATGTTTTGCTTGGCTACTCTTGCCTTTGGAAAATCACGTTCTGTCTCAATTACAGGGATAAAATTATTCATGTGAGGCAACAGTAGAAAGCTTGGTACATACCTATCTTTGTACTATTACCCAAAACAGGCCATTCATTTTGGTGTCCCCATACTCAGTGCTCATCATGAACTCTCCTCACACCCCAAATGCCTCTTCCTTAGGTTACGTTCTTCCTTTAAGATGCCTTCTGTTTTAGTCTGCTTTGTGCTGCTTTAACAGAATACTGCAGACTGGGTAGCTTATAGTGAACAGAAATGTACTTGGCTCGTGGTTCTAGTCTGGGAAGTCCAAGAGTATGGCGCCCACATCTGGCAAAGGCCTCGGTGCTGTGTCATCCTGTGGCAGAAGGTGGAAGGGCAAGAGCAAGCAAGAGGTGGTCAAACTTGCTTTTATAACAAACTCACTCTCACAGTAACTAACACACTCCCAAGTCGACAGAGCCCTCATGACCTACACACCTCCCATTAATTTCCTAACGCATGAATTTTGGGGGAAATATTCAAATGACAGGCCCACCTCAAGTACGGGGCACTTTCTAAACTGGTACTGTTCTGAACTCACCTGACCTGGCCTTCGTTTTTATGTAGTTGTGTGTGCTAATTTTGTATGTGCTTATCTCAATAGCTCCCTGTTCTTACAGTACTCAGGGAAGGTCTAGGGAGTCTTGTCTGGTAAATTATTGATTGGTTTTAATGGCTAAATATTTTTATCTGGCTTACCCTTTGGAACTGCAGATATAATCCTGTGGTCCTTTAATGCTGATTTCTGGGTTTAATGTACATTGGCTTTAAAGTAGATTAATGATGTGACTCAAATTTGATGTTTTCAGTCCCAAGAAGAGGACTGCCTCATTCAGAGCAAGGTATGAGCTCAGAAATTCTGTTTTCATTTTCTGATTCCATTTCTCTCTTCTACTCCACCCCTTTTGGCCTCAATAGCTTCCACCTTCCTCATCTTTGGAAGCTGCCACAGAAGCAATCCAGAACAATTCAGAAGAGGAAGTCACAGAAACTGTAGGTGAAGGGTCAGAATCTGCCATTGAGAAGGAAAAAGAAGAGGATAGTCATTGCGATGAGATGCAACAGATTCTTGCACGGGTCCGGCAGAACTTTGGCAAAATCAATGTTGTGCCTCAGTTTTCTGGGGATGACCTGGTTCCTGTGGAGATGTCAGATCTCGAGGAGGAGCTTGACAGCTTTTCTGGTGAAGAGGAGGAGGAACAGGAGCAACAAAGAGATAACGAGGAAGAGTCTTATGAGGTGTCCCAGGAAGAATATGTGGAAAATGACACCAAAGCAGTTATTAAAGCCCTAGATGAGAAGATTATGAAATACCAGAAGTTTTTAGACAAAGCCAAAGCTAAAAAGTTTTCAGCAGTCAGGTAATATTTTTCTTCTCATGAATTGCAGATTGTTCATTCCTTTTCCAGAAACTTGCCATAAGTACTGGAGCAATATTTTTACACGGGGGTTATTGCCCCTTTTTGGGGGGTTGTTAAGTTAGTTGGTTCTTTCGTTTTTGAGACAGGATTTCACTATGTTGCCTAGGCTGGCCTCAGACTCCTGGGCTCAAGCGATCTTCCCAGATGCTGGGACTACAGGCATGTGCCACTGTACCTGACTGTTATTGCCATTTTAAAAAAGTGACCTGTAAATGTTGTAAAATTCAGCTGCTAAAGTATGATGAGAAGCTTAGATGTACAGTCTTTTAGGATTGCCCTGGTAGCTATAAAATCTGTTGGGTGTTGACTTCTTTAACTGGCGGTAACTAAACAAATAGGAGTGGGGTTTCTTTAATCTGCAAGTCTGTTGCAGGTCTCCAGGTCGGCATATGCTTCAGGCAGTTGAGGGGATGTTGGGCAGCTTCATTACTTTGCTTTTCTGTTTCAGAATATCCAAGGGGCTAAGTGAAAAGATATTTGCAAAACCTGAAAAACAAAGGAAAACACCTGAAGAAGATGTACATGATACAGGTAAAGATAAATTGTTTAAATCATTCAGATGTAGTTTATTTCTTTAGAGCTTTGGAAAACCTAAATTTAATCTCTGAATCATTTCTTGTACAATCGTCCCCACGGAGATTTCTCATATCTGGCAGGCTACTCTGGTTCCACATGTCACTAGAATCATTCTCTTTTCTTTCTGTACAGTTCTTAGGATTAAGTTGGCAATTCAGGAAACTTCTGAAAAAGTTATTAACCTTAGAATCCAAGGGTGGGTCTGCAGACAGTTCGGGGCGTTTCATGCATTTATTCTGTACTCCGTTTGACTCTCAGCTTCCTTACTGAGAGTGTTTACAGGCCCTCGTGTCCTGCCCTGGTGCCCTACTCTTGAGCTGCTCTACTTTCCACTCCACTCGCCCACTGACCACAATGGCCTTTCTCCTCTTTCCAATACGTCAAGCTTGTTCTCACCATGGAGTTCACAGGCACATTTTAAATAGCAAATCCCTGTTTGTGTGTGTGTGTGTGTTTGTGTATTGTTTATCCAGCACCTACCAAAAAGGGAAAGAAACGGAAGGCACAAAGGGAAGAGAAAGATTCCAATAAAACCCTCAGGATGCTTACGTCTAAGGAGGTAAGTGTTTCAGTTTTCAGTACAATCCGGGCAGCAAAAGTAGAAAGGAGAAGTGCAGTTCTCAAGATCCACTCTTTGTGAAACAAATGGTCTTGGGCTTGAGGAACCCCAATCCTCAGTGACCCAGTTGAGGTCAGTTAAATAGAGGCAAGAGGTGTCCTACTGGATAAAGGTCCTCAAGTCCATGACTTATGTTTAAGGAATTGCTGAACTTATGTTTAAGGAACCACTTGACTTAGTTAGATAGTATCGTCTTAAACCAAGGCTCCAAAGTAAGTTCCTTGAAATACATTGGAGTAGGGATGGAGACTGAAGCCAGAGAAGCCCAAGTTAAGGTACAAGATGACTGTGAACCAAAAGTTTGTCTTCTAGATAAGTTTCCTGACTCTAAAATGACATGATAAATAAAAAAAGAAAATGAAACACAAGCAGCACAGTTTAGGCAGACATTTCACTGACCTCCATGAAGGACAACTTTGTAGCTGAGCTGTTGAGAGTTGGAGCAGGCCCTCTGGGATGAGAGATGTTTCTCAGAAGTGTTCAGCCTTTCACCAGGGGACTTGCCCAGAGAGCTTGAAAGGATTCAGGCATCGGAAGGGGGTTGGACCAAATGAGAATCTGTATTTGGAGTTGTCACAAGTCACGATGAAGAGTAAACTTAGGTCTTGAGGGGAACCCTTCCTCATTAGCATGGGCAATGGGGCTCAGAGGTAAGAATCAGAAGTTCCTATGTTGTGACTTTCAGTGTTTGTTTTCTTTTTTGCCATTTTTTTCCAGCGGAGGCGAGCAGCTCGGCAGCAGCAATCCAAAAAAGTTGGCGTGCGCTACTATGATACACACAACGTGAAAAATAGGAACAGGAACAAAAAGAAGACCAGTGACTCAGAGGGACAGAAACATAAACACCAAAAATTCAGACATAAGCAGTAACATTTTAGAAGTTGTTTATTAAATTATACAAAAATATGCCATTAGAAATTGTGCTTATTTTCTTCCTGCCTAGTTGGCATCTCTAAGGCCATGATGCATTGGTTCTGAGGTTTCACAGCTGAAGCCATTCACTAGTTCTAGTGAAAATAAAGGGAAAGCCCCTCCTGGAGATTCCTGTGAGGGAAACCATTGCCACGTCAGATACTTGAATTAACCCCACTAGTTCCTTCAGAGTTGCCCTGTCATGTAAATATCTGACAGAGATGGGGAGGAGGGCAACCAGATGGAAAGTGTGATATTTCTTTTGTATTGATACTTAGCAGTTTGGGGCAGAAACATATAGAACTGTAAAAATGGAATTTCAAGGTAATGTACATGGACTAGGTTTTAAAATCTGAGGACAAAGCTACAGTGACTTCTGCTCCTCATTGAGTCTGTGAAGTGGACCTACTCAGGACACACATGTGTTACTGTTATAGAGTCCTGGAACTAGCAGGTCTCAGTGAACAGAGCTCTCTCCCATGGAAATGACAGGACAGGCCTGTCTTCTGAGTGGGGACTTGTAATTCGTCAGGATACTATATCAGTGTAAAAGGTGTGACTCAGATGCAGGGTGTGTTCAGCTGGGTGAACACAGCTTTTCTGCAGGACTGCAGTGCTTCTAGTGAGCCTTGGAGCCACAACCAGGACAGATGGCAAATTGAAGCTCTGCTGGAAGGAGACTCTTCTTGCACCTCAGAGGAATACTGAGCATGTTAGTGCCTTCTTGAGTAGTGTTACTTGTGCGACTTGATTGAACAATGGAAGTCACCCAGCTTGCTACCCTAGCCCACTCTAGCCTACCTTGGATTAAAGATTTAGGTTGCTAGTTCAATCTTCTGGGTCTACAAAACCAGAAGAGTTTAGGTGAAATAATAAAATGCAGTTGTCTGCAGGCCATAGCCTGATCACTAGTAATTATTACTGCATGTGAGATTTGGTTACCTCTCCAGTTAATTAAATTAAACAGCTAATTAGGAGGGGTGGAGAGTCAGGGTTTAATTTTCTGCAAAATGAGGTGGTAGAGGAGGAGCTGAGTTGCAAACAGCTCACAAAGGACACTGACTTGTATTCCTCTCTAGCAAACATGACTTTCTGCAAAGCCAAAGTCACGGATTGGACTCTGCCATTGTGTCCTAACCCCAGGCAGTCCGACACCGAGGAGGAGGGGACCACTTGACTTGGTTAGATAATATAGTCTAAAACTAAGGCTCCAAAATAAGTTCCTTGAAATACACTGGAGTAGAGATGGAGACTGAGGCCAGAGAAGCCCAAGTTAAGATATAAGATGACTGTGAACCAAAAGTTTGAGGGGCAGAGAAGCACCTTCATTTGACCAGAATTAAGTGATGGCATGGACTGATGACAAGAAAGCAGTTGCTTTCTAAGTCTCAAGTTGGCAAGCTCCAAGGCTGGTTAGTAAGCCACGTACTGAGATTATCAGGACTACATCCCCTTCCACTGTCTAACCAGGAGCCTGACTGACAGACCTCAGGCGTTTGATGGCACTGCGGCAATTGTGTGACTTCTGACAGGTGATTAGGGGAGGGTATGGCTTGTTCAATCAGGAAACTAACTTTTTATTACAAAAGGCTTATGCTGGGGTAGTGCTTGCTGAGACCCATATGGAAATTATCACTTCTTTGGTGCAATAATGCCTTCCAGTTGGGCCTGAAAAACAAAAACAAACTCCATTAATACTTGAAATGTGCAGCCTAACACATAGCTGAGAGGTGATAAAAGTCTCTGGGAAGAGTAATCCAAATGCTGTCACTCCCAGGAATCTTTGTTTCCCTGCATTCCCAGCTCCATATTTTCTAGATTAGCTAGTTGTTGGCTTGGCATAGTCTTGCTACATTAGGAGAAACCAGAGCTGTCCTGGTTTCCATACAGTAATGGCTCAGTATATATTATAAAGCATTGAGAAGTTGTTGAAATAGTGGATTTTCATGGCTCAGATTTCAGGCCTAAGTTTGTCTGCTCAGTTAAACATTTGGCTGTCTGATTTAGGATCCTGGGAGCTGTGTTGGAACCAGAGGTTTGGGAAATAGCAAATTTTCAGCCACTAAGACAACTTGACACCCAATTAGAGGAAATTGCTACCAGTGAGTAGAGAGCTGTCCGTCTTGTATGTAAAGCTTAAGACACTTGGAGTTATTTACTCTAGCAGCCAGTGAAATAATTTACTATCGTGGTATGTAGACAGATCTTTAAGTAGGTCTATCATGGGGACTGCAAAGACGGCTTTATTTGCAATGCAGCTTTGAGCCAAGAAAAATAACTCGCTTCTAAAGAAGCTCAGGGATTACAAGCTTGCTGAATGTGAGATGCTAAGGTATTTGGTTTGCTCTTGTTACTGCTACAGAAGGAACTGAGGAACTGAGGCTTATGAGAAAGGAATATGGCAGGGAAGGGAAGCAGCTTCGGAGGCTCGTGAGTAGGCAGGTTCACCTCTGGCTGTGACAGTTTCTAGCTTTTCTTTCCGGTCAAATCTTCAGCAACAAAAAAATCTGTCATCTTCCATTAGCAGTAGGACGACTTCTTTATCACAAATGGCCCGTCCTCTGCGTTTGTAGACCTAACAAGCCTGCCAGTCTCAAGAATGTAAGCTTTCTTTAGGAAACTAGAGAGCAGAGGGAAATACTTCTAGGGGCCTTTGGCCAGGATTGGGAGACAGCCACTAGACGTCAGTAGGCCATTTATCCGGAACACTATTCTCAAACTAGCAAGCACCAGAATCACCTGAGACCTTGTTAAAACAGATTGCTGGATGGATCTCAACCCCGAAGTTTCTAATTCAGTAGAGGTGGGGTGGACTTAACAATTTGTATTTCTAAGAGGTACCAGGTGATGAGGGTGATACTGGTGTGGGGCCCAATCTTTGAGAACCTTTGGACCAGGCAGAGCTTGAAGTCACAGAGGCCTGTGGTATGGCTTTGTTCACCAGCTACCCCCTCCCATCGACTCAGTTGGATAAATGTATGCCGTATGCCGCTAGCTTGGGACTTTGACACACACCTGAGAAAGGTTTCCAACTTGAAATTGTTCTTCCTTCAAATGCCTTCCCTGCCCACCCATCAATTCTGACTTCTTCCCTGGCTTTGCCCCAAACCTAGTGCCTTGAAGGAGACTGCAGTGGAAGAGCACATCCGTGCCAGCCTGCTGAAGAATCCCGCCCACCCAAGGAGCGCTCCAGAATAACAGCTTTGAGGGAAGGAAGTTCCACTGTTTGCCATATCCTCCTCTCCCTCGAGGGTGGGCAACTTGTTTCTGGGGTGGGAAGACTCCCCACTGGAGAGCCAGGCTGAGGTGTTGTAGGGATTCAGAGTTGATGATAGAGACCTCTAGAGCAGGTGGATGGAGAATCTGGGTAATGAACCCTCACCCCCACCTACCAGTCAGCTTCCTATACTTCTTGGCAGAACATGCATACAAACAGCTATGAGCCATCAGTGGGAAAGGAGCTGAATGCTTGGCCCATGGGGTTGAAGGTGAAGTAAAGGAAGTGGTCCCTCTCTCCAGCGCCTGCTCTGAGTACCTTCAGCTGCTGATTTGTCCGCTTCAGAAACTGAATCTCCTCGTTGTGCTTCTTCTCCTCCACCTGCCGCCTCTCACTCTCTCGCTTCTCTATGGCCTCACATTTTGCCTTCTGCTCATTCACTTGCCTCTCCAAGTCTCTCTTTTCTGTCTCCAATTCTGCGATCTAAGGACAAAATGCTCAGTCATCCTGGGACATCACCAACTGGACAGGGTGGTGTGAGAGCCTGGGTAGAGGAGACATGGGACACAGAAGACATTGCCAGGGTATGCACTGCCACCCAGTGGGAGGTCCGTGACTGGCATGGAGCGTCCACAGGGGAGACAACACTGCCGAGACCACCGGCCTGGCCGTTAACACTCAACCAAGAGTCCTCATTGAGGTGATGCAGGTTCAGGGTCATGAATGTCAGGAGAGCACCTCAGGGAGCTAGAATTTACTGTTGGAATGACAACCCTGTGGCCCTGAGGTTGACGGAGGAGTCGGAGAGGGCTAAAGGGTCACAGTGAACCCCACTCACTTTCCTCTCCATGTCTGACTTCCCCTGTTCAGCCTGCAGTGCCTTCCTCATGCCAAACGCTACGCTGCTCTCGTACAAGGTCTGGTAGGCGGCGATGGTCATGCGGATCTCATCCCGGACTCGCAGCAGCAGCAGCCCCCTCTCTGCACAGTTGATGGTGACCTCCCGGATCAGCTCATCTTCCAAGGCACACAGACCATGAGATCAGGGAAGGTGGGAGGAGAGGCAGATGTACCATGTCTATTGCAAACCAACTGGGAAGGACTCTAGGGTGTGCTCTCCTTGCTTGGAGACAAGGTCTCAGAGAAAGACTTCAGGGAGGGTGCCTTTGGTGGCCCAAAGAGCCTTGCCATGCAGCCACTCCTCTGAACCTGGTACTTGGTAGTAGCACTCAGTTAGCAAGCTGGATTGGCCAGGGCATAGGGACCCAAGAGTCCTCTGTTTGTTTGCAACAGTGAGTCCCCTCCCTTCTGTCAGGCAGAAACTGGGCACCGTTCAAATAAATCAGACTTTTTTTTTTTGAGTTGGAGTCTCACTCTGTCACCCAGGCTGGAGTGCAGTGGCACACTCACGGTTACTGAAGCCTCGACATGCTGGGCTCAGGTGATCCTTCCGCCTCAGCCTTCCAAGTAGCTGGGACTACATATACACACCACCATACCCGGCTAATTTTTTGATTTATTGTAGAGATGAGGTCTTGCCAAGTTGCCTAGGCTGGTCTCGAACCTGTGGGCTCAAGCAGTCCTCTCACCTCAACCTCCCAAAGTGCTGGGATTATAGGCGTGAGCCACCGTGACTGGCCATTCAGACTCTTTAAGTTTCAAGATGCTGACTATTTTAAAGCAGCTGGGACAGCTGGGGATTGTGGCTCACACCTGTAAGCCACAACTTAAAAAAAAAAAAATGCAGTGCCTATCAGCTGTGGGCTGGTAGGAGAAGCAGGGTTAGGAGGGGAAAGAGGCAGCATTTAGCAATTGATGGGTGGTGGGTCAGGCAGGGGAGAAGAGAGGTGGTTCCGGCATGGGGTGGGCTTCAGCTCAGGGGTGCTCAGGGCTTGGATCTGGGCAGAAGGGCAGGGGAAGGAGGCAGTAGGGTGTGTAGTGCCCACCCCTCACCTGGCCCACTCACCAAAACACTGTGAGTAGAGTTCCCTGCGGACAGGGCAGATGCCTGTTTCCCTGGCCTGCCGCTGCTGTAACTTCAGGTCCAGCTGCTCCTGGAGGTGCACCACATCCATCCTGGTGCTGGGGGTGCTGGACACCTGCTGGATCCATAGCTGTGTTTCCTCCACCCACTCCCTGTGGCACAGACACAGCCAGGCTGAGCAAAACCCACTGATTTGAGAGGGTCGGTTGCACATGAGTGGAGAGGGCCCTGTTTGATCTCTGCCCGAGCAGGCGTAAGGAGCAGCTTTGCCACCAACCCACCAGAATTCTCCATCCCTCCTTGGGCGTGAGGTTCCAAAGCCACACCCACTAGCTGCCTCCTCAGGACCCTACCTTGGAACTTGATAGGTTGGCAATTTCTACCTTCCACGCCCTCCGTGAAATCATCACATACTGTCCCAGATCTGACTCTCTTAATATGTTGGAGACAGATTTATGGTCACTGTTCTTGACCTGAACAGAAGGCCCAGTGGAAATTCCCCACTGATTTATGAGGTGGGAGACACAAGACACCACAAACCTTGTACAAGCCAGAAAGTGACAAATGTATGTATGGGGACAGGGAGGTTCTTGAAGAAGGTGTGTGCCTGCATGAACCCCCCCCCCCCCATCAGGAATCTGGTGCCAGAGGTGGCCAGGTTACAGAATTACGAGAAGGAAGCTTGAGGGCAGAAGCGCCATGTAGGAAAAAGACTTCTAGGCTATTGGTGGGAAAGAATCAACTGAAAAAACATCCCCCTTCCTTGCCCTTCATCTCAGAGATCACAGTCTCTATTCCCCCCACCCCACCTTTTTTTTTTTTTTTGAGTCAGTCTCATTCTGTTGCCCAGGCTGGAGTGCAGTGGCATGCTCACAGCCACTGCAGCCTCAACCTGCTGGGCTCAGGCGAACCTTCTGCTTCAGCCTTCCAAGTAGCTGGAACTACAGGCACGCGCCAACATGCCTGGCTAATTTTTTTATTTATTGTAGAGATGAGGTCTCACCATGTTACCCATGCTGGTCTCAAACCAGCGGGCTTAGGCAATCCTCTCGCCTCTGCCTCCCAAAGTGCTGGGATTACAGGTGTAAACCACCACGCCCAGCTTGTTTCCCTTTTTTTTCATCATCACCTTAAAAACTGTGTTATCAACTTATTACATAAAAACAGTTGAAGAGACAAGTTCTAGGATGCAAAAGCCTAGGCCTTCTCCCAGCCACTGCTCCTCCTACTTTTTTTTTTTTTTTTTTTTACCTTGGAGGCAGGATGGCATTCAAGATTTCTTCTGCCTGCTTTGTAGGATCTGGGACACAGGAAGTTGAGGGGAGCTTGGCCTTGGGTGGTTGTGGAACTGGACCCGAGGGTCCAGGCTGCTGGGGGCTGACTTTCAGTGGCCGAGCCTGAGACAAAGGCACAGGTGAGGGCAGGGAATTATTCAGGAGCTCAGCTCCACAAATCTTGGCTCACTGTGTCACTCCAGGTCTCCTGTATACCCCTCCCCTATTCTCAGCCTATTTTCAGTGGGTCTTCTCAGCAGAAATCTTTTCTCAAACTGAAGGAAGCCATGAAGTCTCTGGTCCCAACTTGATGCTTGAACAGGTGTTTCTGCTACAAGTGCTCAGGTCTCTGCTTTCACACCCCTGGTGATGGGGAAATCTACTACCTGATCTATTCTTGGACCCGGGAACCGAAGTAAAGTGAGCCCCATCCCTCTCCCTGTGACAATCCTAAACCTGCCTTCTGGGGTCACACCCACCATCCGGGCTTTCTGTAAGGCTCTTTCAGCCTCCTTCCCCGACGCCTCAATTCCTTTTACTACCAGCCGCTGCAATCCCTGTCCCTTGGGATTCCTAATCCTCAACGTGGGCATCTGTTTTTCCCTATCGGAGCTTCCTGGCTGTCTCATCCCCTGAGACCTGTCCTTACCTTGGGGCTCCGTTTCTCCGTGTTCCGGCTCACCAGCACTGGGGTGTCATACTTGAGCAGAGAGTCCGCGGGGGGGATCATGGCGGCGGCGGGATTAGCAGCTAGGCAGTGGTCCCTCCAGTCTGGGCCTTGTTTGCTGTCACCATGGAAACCCCCCCACCAGCTCCCTAACTGGGCGGGGCTTCGCAGTGGGGTGGAGCCAGCAGTGCGCCAGTTTTCGTTCTGTGCAATCTTCACGAAAGCTCTTATGCTTCACTTCTTAGGCCTCTTGCTCATGGTATCGCCCCGCTAGTCTTGGAAGTAAGGAAAACAGGGATTCGAGTCCCTGCGCTGCGTCTAGCAGATAACCTTTGCTGAACTGCAGATTAGTCCCTGAAAAATAGGAGTCATCTTACGCCTCTGAAGAATTTGTTTGGGGTGATTGCCAAATGAAGGCGGAGTTCTCAGGTTTAAAAAAAATGGGGGGGGGGGTGCGGTGGGCCGGGCGCAGTGTCTCAAGCCTGTAATCCTAGCACTTTGGGAGGCCGAGGCGAGAGGATTGCCTGAGTCCTGGGGTTCGAGACCAGCCTGGGCAACTTGATGAGACCTTGTCTCTACAATAAATAAAAAATAAGCTGGGCGTTGTGGCGCGCGCCTGTAGTTACTGCTACTTGGAAGGCTAAGGCAGAAGGATCGCCTGGGCCCACCAGGTCGAGGGTGCGGTGGCTGTGAGCGTGCTACTGCACTCCAGCCTGGGCGACAGAGTGAGACTCCAGCTCTCGCTCTCTCTCTCTCTCTCTCTCTATATATTTTTTTTTAAATTAAATGGAGAAACGACAATTTAAAGACCAAAGGGAAATTTCCCCTTCATCCTCTGAAAGTTCGCTGAAGGCAGATTAATTGGAGAAAATGCATACAAATTTACTTAATATGGATACAGGTGGAGAATCACAGATTCCCCCCCAACGTGTTTCAGAAGTTCATGTACCATCCTGGCAAAACAGGTTGTGGGAGAAGAAGAGGAATTCTGTTGAGGGGATTACTAGGGAGAATGAATGAATCAGGGAACAGAGATTAATTTTGTTAATCTTTGACAGAGGAATGTCTCTGTTCAGGTGTGGTCATATTCTTGGTTTTATACAGGAAGGAGACAAAAAAACCCAATAATTCCTTTTGGTGCGTCTGGACCTTAGGCTGACAAAAGCCAGTGCTTTGGGAGAGACGGTTGGTGTATGATGGGAGGGTCGGAGAGACTTGAGCCTTCTTCGGTTCAGCATGTCAACGCGCCATATTTTGGGGTATCGGGTTCTGCGCCCCAACAACATAGCAGAAAGTTCAGGAAATAGCCTAGGCAAGGTGGCTCACGTCTGTAATTTCAGCACTTTGGGAGGCCGAGGCGGGAGGATTGCTTGAGTCCAAGAGTTCAAGACCAGCCTGGGCAACGTAGCAAAACCTTGTCTCTTTTATTTTATGTATTTTTTAAAAGTTAAAGAAAATTCAGGAAATAGAGGGGGAAATGCTAATGACTTGCCCATGAGTTACCTCCTCTGATTGCATTTCCATCTCTTCTTCCGGCGTATTTCCAAATGTAAATGTAATCACAACTGTAGTCTAAATGTAAATGTAATCTCAGTATGTGCACAATTTTGTATCGTTAAATCAGGATTTTTTTCCATTTGCCATATATATATATAATTTGTAAATGGCATTATTAATGGTCACATGCCACTCAATTAGCTAAACAAGTAATGAGTTTACTGCTGGGCATTTAGGTTGTCTCGTGTTTTGAAATTACGAATAACATGACAACAGCCTTGAGAGATGTGCCTTTTCCTGGAAGCCTGCTTTTGAAACTTAAAACTCCCGCCCCGCAAGCCGTCACTGCGGCCCTGCCCACTAGGGAGGCGTCACGAGTTCGGGCTCTCAGCCGCGAGGGCTTCTGGGAGAGCGCACACCCCGGAAACGGAAGTCTCAGGAGTGGTAGCATTCGTCATTTCCTTCAACGAGAGCAGCTCAACGGACTTCCTTTCTTTTGCTCAGCCAAAATCGCAGGATGAAGGCGGTGAAGAGCGAGCGGGAGCGGGGCAGCCGGCGAAGGCACCGGGACGAGGACATGGCGGCGCCGCCGGCGGCGGTGGTGGTGAAGCAGGAGCGCCTCAGCCCAGAAGCCGCGCCTCCCGCCCACCGCCGACCTGACTTCTCCGGCGGTAGCCAGTCCCCGCCGGCCTGCGAGCCGGGTCGCCCTGGCCACCGCGGGAGCCGAGCTCGGGGCGTCAGCCGGTAAGTGGTCAGCAACCCGGACTAGACCTTGGGTCGGACTCAGTCAGAGGGGAGTTTAGGGCTAGCGACAGAAGTAGGTCTTGAATGCTGAGCGCTGCTGCTTGGACTGAATCCTGAGGCGGTGGGCGTGACCCCTGTTTACTCCAGAATGTTTACTTGGGCTCCATCACTTGCGTTCTGGCTGGTTGTTAACGAGCAGAATCCAGCCCCTTCATTCTTGTGTCTCCAGCACTTCGCAGAGTATAGCCCAGCGGATAGCACAGATCCTCTGTTAAGTTGGAATGAGATTTCCCCCATCTGGCCACAAATGAAGCCCAGGCGTTGTCTTTCTGGTTATGTGCCCAGAAGGTTTCCACATCGAGGTGTAGGCAACCTGCCTGATAGAAACTCGGGGCGGGGGGAGAGGGGAAGGTGCCTTTTGCTAAACTCATTTTATGCATTCTTTCAGTATAGGTTTGTTGAGTGCCTATTACGTGCTAAAGACTGTCCTAGATACTGGGACTACAAAGATGTTGCAGATAGATGGTTTTCGCCACCTAGAAATTGGCCGCGACTACCCCTAAGACGGACGACAATAAGCACAAAAATAAAATCGTTTCCATTAGTAACAAGTTATTAGGGATAGGTTAGAACGGTAATGTGTTAGTAAGAGATTGGAGGAGAGTGGGGAAAGGCCTCTCTAAAGAGGTGCCATTTGAGCTGAGACCTGAATGATAGGAATGATCCAGCCTCTTAAAGATCCGTGTGCAAAGAACTTGAAGTAGAATTACTTTGAACTGGAAAAAAGGCAGTGTAGAAGGGGGATGGTAGAATGAGATGGGATAGGGAGAAAGAAGAGCTATAAGATGGATGGATTGTGATTGCTCCAGGGGGATGTTGGTGGTGAGGGAAAAAGAGTCAAGGGTGACTTCTGGATGGTGGTACTGTTAGTAAGATGTCAAGGAGTGAGAGAGGAATGGTTTCTGAGGGGTTGGAAATCATGTTATTTAAGTGAGACGCTTCGATAGGCGTACACAACTCTGGACACATTAGGAAAGTGAAGCTCCTGATTCCTCTAGTGTGATCAGGAATCTTCACAAATGTGGTGTTTGTGTTAGTAGGCAAGCCTGATACTTGAAATTAATTTATATAGGGGAAGGGAAACAGATAAAATTCTGTGTACCATTCCCTGAATAGGTCTCCAGCCAAAAAGAAAAACAAATCTTCAGGTAGAAGTAAGTCTCCTCGAAGTAAGAGAACCCGAAGTCCTCACCACTCAACAGTCAAAGTGAAGCAAGTAAGTGGATTGGGGTGTTTTGATATTGGGTCCAATCTAGAGCCTTTTCCCATCAGAGCTAAAGAGTGTGTGTGTGTGTTTTGCTTCTTTTCTTAAACTATTTTAAGATAATTGTTGATTGTTTTTGGTGATGAGGTTGACAGAATTAATGCAGGGAGGTATACTCTACCAGGTTTCTCCCAATGGTAACATCTAACAGAACTATGATACAATAACATAGTCAGAATATTGACATTAACATAGTCAAGATACAAAACATTTCCATTACATATCAGTAGTTCATTTCTTTTTGTTCCTGAGTAATATTCAGTAGATTGGATTTAGCCATTAAATTGTTAAAGAACATCTGGGTTGTTTCCAGTTTTTGGCCATTACACAAAAAGCTGCTACATAAACACTTGTGTACAGGTTTTTGTGTGAACATAAGATTTCATTTGGTCAGGTGTGGTGACTCATGCCTATAATCCCAGTACTTTGGGAGGTCAAGGTGAGAGGATTGTCTGAGCCTGCAGTTTTGAGACCAGCCTGGGCAACTTGGCGAAACCTCATCTCTACAATAAATCAAAAACATTAGCCAGGCATGGTGGTGCATGCCTGTAGTTTCAGCTACTTGGAAGGCTGAGGCGGAACGATCACCTGAGCCCAGCAGGTCAAGGCTGCAGTGGCTGGGAGCGTGCTACTGCTCTCCAGCCTGGCTGACAGAGTGAGACTCCAACTCAAAAAAAAAAAAGATTTCATTTCTTTGAGATAAATGCCCAAGAGTGCAGTTGCCAGATTGTGTGGTAGTTGCATGTTTAATTTTTTGAGAAATTGCTGGATGGACCAGGCATGGTAGCTTGCACCTGTAATCCCAGCACTTTGGGAGGCCGAGGTGAAAGGATTGCCTAAGTCCAGAGGTTCAAGACCAGCCTGGGCAACCTGATGAGACCTTGAGACCTTGTCTCCACAATAAATCAAAAAACTTAGCCGAGCATAGTAGTACACGCCTATAGCTCCAGCAACTTGGAAGGCAACAGAGTGAGACTCCAACTCAAAAAGAAAGAAAGAAAAGAAATTATCAGACTGTTTTCCAGAGTAGCTATATTAGTTTGCTAGGGTTGCCATAATAAAATACCATACACTAGGTGACTTAAACAACAGAAACTTATGTGTCCTCCACGTGATCTTTACCAGGTATCCCTGGTGTCTTTTTTCTTATAAGGACACAAGCCATATTGGATTAGGGCCCCCACCCTCATGCCCTCATTTAACTTAATCACCTCTTTAAAGACCTCATCTACAAAGTTATATTCTGAAGTACTTGAATTTGGTACTTCAGCTTTTTTTTTGACTTGAAGTCTCTGTCACCCAGGCTCTGGCATGCTTAACCTGCTGGGCTCAGGTGATGCTTCCACCCCAGCCTTCCAAGTGGCTGGAACTACAGGTGCACACTACCACACCCAGCTGATTTTTTTTACTTTATTATAGAGATGAGGTCTTGCCAAGTTGCCCAAGCTGGTCTTGAACTCCTGGGTTCAGGATGTCCTCTCACCTCTGCCTCCTAAAGTGCTAGGATTACCCATTTTTCCATTTATGGATTGTGTTTTTGGTGTCTCATCTGAGAACTTTTTGCCTAGCCCTAGGTCTTGAAGATTTTATCTTATTTTTTTCCTTAAAATTTAACATTGTACACTTATGTGCACAATCTATTTTCAGTTTGTTTTAATATAAAGTATGAGGCTTAGATTGAAGTTCTTTTTTTTTTTTAACCTTTGAATGTGCACCAGCACCTTTGTTGAAAAGGTTATCTTTCCTCCACTGAGTTGCCTTTGCTTATTTGCTAAAAATCAGTTTGGCATGTATGTGTGGTTCTACTTCTGGGCTCTCTATTCTATTCCATTTATGTATGCCATTCTGATAATACCACACAATCTTGAACAATCTTGCTAAAAAAAAAATTTTTAAGTCAGAGTTTCATTCTATTGCCCAGGCTGGAATCATAACTCACCATAGCCTTGACTGCCTTGGCTAAGGTGATCCTTCTGCCTCAGCCTCCCAAGTAGCTGGAACTACAGGTATGTGCCAACATGTCTGGCTAATTTTTTTATTTTTTGTGGAGACCGGGTCTTGCTAGTTTGTTTACACTGGTCTTGAGCTCCTGTACTTCAGCAATCTTCTTACCTTGGCCTCTGGGATTATAGGTGTGAACCACAGTGCCCAGCCCAATCTTGCTAAAATTTTCATAGGAATTGTGTTAAACTGATACTTTGGGACACTAATTGACTTTTTTTTTACTATGTTGAGTCTTCCCTTTTTTTTTTTTTGGAGTTTCACTCTGTTGCCCAGGCTGGAGTGCAGTGGAACGTTCATGGCCACCGCAGCCTCTATCTGCTGGGCTCAGGAGATCTTTCTGCCTTAGCCTTCCAAGTATGGAACTACAGGCATGTGCCACCACACCCAACTAAATTTTTCTTTATTGTAGAGACAAGGTCTCACCAAGTTGCCGTCACCAAGTTGCCCATGCTGGTCTCAAACCCCTAGGCTCAGGCAGTCCTCTCGCCTCTGCCTCCCAAAGTGCTGGGATTACATGTGTGAATCACTGCGTCCAGCATGTTAAGTCTTCTAATCCATGAACACTGTGTGTCTCTCCTTTTATTTAAATCTTTGATTTCTTTTATTTGCGTTTTTAGCATGTAAGTCCTATACATATTTTGTTAGGTTTACACTTAAGTATTTCTTGGAGCTGGTCATGGTGGTACACACACCTGTAATACCAGGTACTTGAGAGGCTGAGGTAGGAGAATCACTCAAGCTCTGGAGTTCAAGATTAATCTATGCAACATAGGGTGACTGTTTCAAAAAAGTATTTTTTGGACGATTGATCGTAATTTAAATATTAGTGCCCATATGTTTTTTGCTAGTATATAAAAATATAATTTGTCTTTGTGTATTTATCTTAATCCTGTATCCTTGCTGAACTTGTTTATTCTAGGAGATTCTTTTAAATTACTTGAGTTTTCTAAGCCCACAGGTTCGAGACCAGCCTGGGTGGCTTGACGAGACCTCATCTCTACAGTAAATCAAAAAAGTAGCCAGGCGTGGTAGTACATGCCTGTGGTTCTGGCTACTTGGAAGGGTGAGGCAGAAGGATCGCCTGAGCCCAGTGGGTTAATGCTGGGTGGCCATGATCATGCCACTGCACTTCAGCCTGGGCGACAGAGTGAGACTCGAACTCAAAAATAATAATAATAATAAATTACTTGAGATTTTTTACATAGCCAATCATGTCTATGAATAGGGACTATTCTATATCTTCCTTTATATGCATTTTTCTTTTTTTTTATTACACTGGCTACAACTTCAAGCATTGTGTTGAATAAGAGTAGTGAGAGCAAACACTTTGTTCTGAATCTTGAGAGACAGGTATTGAGTCGTCTTAAACTCTTTATTACTAAGTGCATTAAGCAAATGGATTTTCCTATGAATTTGAGAGACTGACCAGCATTCTACTACCTTAAAGATATAAAGCCAGCCAGGCTTGATAGTCTACTGTATAAGATCAGATACTGCTTTGGCTATCTCAGAATTCAACCTCAGGAACCACAACACCCAGATTGAACTTCTTAAATTGCGTGTAGTTTTTTTGTTGTGTTTTATTTGTTCATATACAACTTGTAGCTCTTTTCCTCTGGTTCCAGAATCATCTTGCTCTTTTCCTCTGGTTCCACAATAAATCCTGGGGCATTTAACATGAAATTTTACTGATTATTATTATTTTGAAATGTCTTATTTTGCTAATTTCCCTTCCTATCAAATTATCTCTTTTAAACTGCTTTCTGTCTTTCAGTCAGCTAGAGATTTAGAAATGGCCCTCAAACAAAAGGGCTTACCAAGCAGCTGAAGCTGACTTTTACATAGGTTAATCTTAAATACGATTGCACACGGTCTCTGACTTAAGCATGATTTTTGCTTACAGGTATAGTCTGTCCTTGGTATCTGCCAGTTCTGAATCTGTGGGTTCAATCACAGATCTAAATTATTATTTATTTATTTATTTATTTTTTGAGTTGGAGTCTCACTCTGTCGCCCAGACTGGAGTGCAGTGGCCGCTTCCGGCCACCGCAGCCTTGACCTGCTGGGCTCCAGTGATCCTTCCGCCTCAGCCTTCCAAGTAGCCGGAATTATAGGCATGTGCTACCACGCCCGGCTGATTTTTTGATTTATTGTAGAGATGAGGTCTTGCTGCCCAGGCGGGTCTCGAACCCATGGGCTCAGGCAATCCACTCACCTCAGCCTCCCAAAGGCGCGGGATTACAGGCTGAGCCACCAAGCCCGGCTAAAATTATTTTTTAAAAATAATTTTTAAAAATACAAATGAAAATCAATATAGGCCAGGCACAGTGGCTCAACCCATAATCCCAGCACTTTGGGAGGCCAAGGCAAGAGGATTACCTGAGCCTAGGAGGTCGAGACCAGTCTGGACAACTTGGTGAGAGCTCATCTCTACAATAAATCACAAAAACTAGGTGGGCATGATGGCATGCTTCTGTAGTTCTAGCTACTTGGAAGGCTGAGGCAGAAGGATTGCCTAAGCCCAGCAGGTCAAGGCTGCAGTGACCGTGAGCATGCCACTGCACTCCAGCCTGGGTGACAAGAGTGAAACCCCAACTCAAAAAAAAAAAAAGAAAGAAAAAGAAAAACAATGTAACAACTACTTATATAGCGTTTACATTGTGTTAGATGTTAAAAGTAACCTAGCAATGAGGTATACAGGAGGATATTCATAGGTTATATGCAAAATACTTTTTCATTTTATATAAGGAACTTGGCATCCTAGTTTTTTTGTTTTTTGTTTTAATCCACTAGGGGTCCTGGAAGAAATTCCTTGGGGTTACTGAGGGACAGCTGTATTCTCTTTTCTATCTCTGAACCACCATTTTCAAAACAAATGTATTGATTACATGCTTACTGTAATAAAACAGAATTATGTAAGATATAAAATGAGAATATGGCATATATACCATATGGTTACTCCTCTCATCCCCCAAAATTGCACCACCTCCTCAGCAAAAAAATCTCCATCTCACTTGCCAGAAGTACCCACAATAATAGAATCTCTGTCTCCATCATCGCTTGGCCTTCTTCTCCCCATGAGTGTCTCTGTGTTTCTTATAAGGACATCAGTCACATGGGAGTAATGACCTACATTATTCCACTATGACCGTACTTTACTAATTATATCTTTGATGCCCTCTTTCCAAATAAGGCTACATTCTGAGGTTCCAGGAAAGACATACATTTTGGGAGGCACTATGCAACCTTGTATAGTTTTTTTGTTTGTTTTTAGTAGAGACAAAAATGTCACTATATTGACCAGGATGGTCTTGAACCCCTCAGCCTCACAAAGTGCTAGGATTATAGATGTGAGCCACCTTGTCTGGCCCTTGTATAGATATTTTAAGTTTGAAATATCTATTAGACTGAGTGGACAGTAGAAATAAGGAGAGACATCTGGACTGGAGATAAACATTTGGAAGTTGTTGGCATACAAATGTATGTAAAGTATTAGGATTAGATGAGATTACACAGGAAATGAGTGTAGATAGAAGACCAGTTAATCAAGGACTGAATCCAGGGGTGATCCAGCGTGAGGAAATTGCAGCAGCATTATCAGCAACAGAGACGAGAAAGTAAGAAAAAGCAAGAGTCTGGTAACATTGAGGCCTTAGGGAAGTGTTGCCGGGCTTGGTGGCTCAGCCTGTAATCCCGCACTTTGGGAGGCTGTGGTGAGTGGATTGCCTGAGCCCGCGGGTTCGAGACCCACCTGGGCAACTTGGCCAGACCTCATCTATACAATAAATCAAAAAATTAGTGGGTGTGGTAGCGCACGCCTGTAGTTCCAGCTACTTGGAAGGCTGAGGCAGAAGGATCGCCGGAGTCCAGCAGGTTGAGGCTGCGGTGACCGGGAACGAGCCACTGCACTTCAGTCTGGGCGACAGAGTGAGACTCCAACTCAAAAAAAGAAGAAAGTGTTGAGGCCATTGGATTTAGCAACATGGAGGTGTCATTGGAGATATTGACTGGCAATTTTAATAGGGTAGTAAGGGTAAAACCTGATTGGAGGTGTTCATGAGAAGATGAAGGAGAGGAACTGGAAACTGGTCTTGAAAAGCAGTACTCTTTTGAGGAGTTTTACTGCAAAAAGGAATGAAGAAATGGAATGGAAGCTGGCATTTCCATGGGATGGGAATGGAGTCTAGAGAACATGTTCCTGCAGTGATTCAGCAGAGCAGGAAGAGTAGATTGTGGAGAAGAGAGAGCTGCTGGTGTAATGTCCTTGATGAGAGGGGATAGGCTCGAGCTCCCACATCTAGGAATTAAGTTTAGATAGCAGCACTATATAAATAGCTCATTTATGGTCCCAGGAAGGGAAGGAAGGAAGAGTATATTGGTGTAGATACTGGTAGATAGTAGATTTGAAAGACTACTTCTGCTCCCAAAGTGGTGAGATTGCAGGCTTGAACTACTGCGCCCAGCATAATGTAAAATAAACATGAGACATTTCAGTTATCAAAGAAATGAGGGGAAAAAAAAAAGCAAGACTCCTTCTGACTGAGTAAAGAAGGGATGGGGAAAAGCATGTTGGAGACAGAGAAGAGAGAAAAGGTGAAACAGTCATCTGGGAGAGTATATGGCTCAGGGAAATGTAGGGTGTTCTTGGGCATCACTAAGGAGTCTTAGGGTCATGCGCTTAAGTCAGACTGGTATGTTTCTTGCCAGCCACATTTATCTGTTGGTGCTGGTTGTGGTTTTGATGTGAGAGTGCAACAGAATGGTACAGGGACAAAGGATTTTTAATGGTTGTGCTAGGGAGTGATAATTCTGCTTGACAGTGGAACTTAGGCTAGACAAGAAAGGGCAAGAGGCTATCCAGAGGGTGAAGAACTGTGCATAGATAGTAAGATCAAAGGATGGGCTGTCTTACTGGGATAAGGATTGTTGGAATTGGGGTAAAAACTGAGCTGAAAGACGAATTGTGGCCAGAAAGAGGGTTCCTTGAAATTGAGATTATAGGGCAACCTCTTTCAGGTCCCCTCCCATTGTGGGAGCTTTCTGTCTTAATAAATCCTACTTTCTTTTTTTTTTTTTTTGAGTTGGAGTCTCACTCCATCTCCCAGACTGGAGTGCAGTGGCACGCTCCTGGCCACCGCAGCCTCGACCTGCTGGGCTCCGGCGATCCTTCCGCCTCAGCCTTCCGAGTAGCCGGAATTACAGGTGTGTGCTACCATGCCTGGCTAATTTTTGATTTATTGTAGAGATGAGGTTTCACCAAGTTTCCCGGGCGGGTCTTGAGCCCGCAGGCTCAGGCAATCCACTCACCTTGGCCTCTCAAAGTGCTGGGATTACAGGCTGAGCTACTGAGCCCAGCCAAATCCTACTTTCTAAAACAAATAAGAAAGGAAGAAATTGAGATTATTGTGGAGTTGCAGTTACTGTGAAAGAAAAGGTGGTGGTGGGACTGAGGTGAAAGGAATAACAGCATTGGAAGAGAGGAGTTTAAAGAACAGAGAGGTCATCATGTTGAAATATCGCCTGTGTGTTACTGAAATCACTGAGAGTCATGTCTAAGAGAGTGACTAGAGCTAGAAGTGAAATGGGCAAGAAATGAGAGGAAGTTATTTATGGTTAGCAGGTGCCAACAAAGAGGGTAGTGCTGATGATGGTCTTATGTGAGGTTCAGAACTAAGAATTTTTAGAAAGGAGGGTTTGGGGAGTGTTCTAGAATAGTCATTGATAACCAGGTGCAGTGTAACCCCAGCATCTTGGAAGACCAAGGCATGAGAATCACCTCAGTCTAGGAGTAGAAGACCAGCCTGGGCAACATAGCAAGACCCTGTCTTTCGGTGTGTGAGTTTTCAGTTCCAGGGGGCATAGTTACAAAGGAATTGAAGAAGGGTGGGATTTGGGGAGAGAATACTGGGCATCCAGAGCCTTACAGGGATTGGAATACAAGGGAGATGGAGGTGATGGCCAGGAGTCTGTGACTTCTTATAGTGACTCTTAATCAGGGATAAAAAGCATAATGAGATTAGTCCTGGTGAACTCAATGCAGATAGCAGCAGCAAGCTTGTAAATGTTTGGGGACAAGGGCGTCTTGATGCTTGCCTTTGGGGACTAGGAAGTCTAGAGAAACAGAATCTTACTCTCAGCACACAGGTCCCCATTTGACCCCTGTCTGTGGCAGGGTCTTGGGGGATGAGGCCTCAATCCCATTGTTTTCACATTTAGGCTATCGTGAAATATGCTGCTCTGAACATGGCTGTATCTCCTTGACTCCCTGCTTTCACTTCTTTTGGCTATATGATCAGAAGTGAGATTGCTAGATCATTTCGTAATTCTATTTTTTAATTTTTTGAGGAACTACCATACTGTTTTCCTACAGTGGCTATATCATTTTACATTGTCATCAACAGTATACGGGGGTTTCAGTTTCTCTACATCCTCACCAACAATTGTTATTTTTTGCTTTTTAATAATAGCCATCATAGAATTCCATAACATTAAATACCTGAACTGTTCATATTTATGTGATTGGCTTATAACTTTTTAATAAGTGTATCTGTTCAAATCGGGATCAAAATTAGATGTACACATTGCAATTTATCACTGCTTCCTTTAAGTCTCTTTTGTCTATAAATTCCTGTTCCCTTCTTTTTTCTTTGCAATTTATTTGTAATTTGCATCCCCTTGTATTTTCTGTAAACTGATAGTTAAATCTCAAGCCTTGGTCAGGTCTAAGTTCGGTTTTTTTTTCCTTTTTCTTTCAAGTATAGACAATCAAATGTTGCTGTGTGCTTCTGTCAGGGGGCATGCAGTCTCTGGTTGTCTCTTTGCCTAATCAGTTTTGAAAGTCTCTTATTGGGCCGGGCATGGTGGCTCACACCTGTAATCCCAGCACTTTGGGAGGCAAAGGCAAGAGGATTGCCTGAGCCCAGGGGTCTGAGACCAGCCTGAACAACTTAGCAAGACTTCTTCTACAATAAATCAAAAAATTAGCCAGGCGTGGTGACCCGAGCTTGTAGTTCCAGCTACTTGGAAGGCTGAGGCTGAAGGATCGCCTGAGCCCAGCAGGTCGAGGCTGCAATGGCCATGAGAGTGCCACTGCACTCCAGCCTGGGCGACAATGAGACTCTGACTCAAAAAAAAAGAAATCGAAAATCTCTTATTGCTGTTTTTGAATTTTTAACCTTAATTATTTGTAAACACTTTTTATACATGAATATTTTATATTCTGTGTTTTACTAGTCCAGTGCCTTGCAAGGGAACATAACTACAGCAGATAATCTTATTTCTATGGGAAGTTTTATTCTGAATGCCAGAGTCCAAGTTACAAGTAACTTTTTGAATCTATGAACTTGTTCATAGATTGTGGCTGCCTTTAAATTACCAAGTCTGTTTGAATTTCAGGAACGTGAGGATCATCCTCGAAGAGGACGGGAGGATCGTCAGCACCGGGAAGCATCAGAACAGGAACACAGGAGAACTAGGAACAGTGACCGAGACAGACACCGGGGCCATTCCCACCAAAGAAGAACTTCTAAAGAGAGGCTTGGGAGTGGGCTGCCTCAGGGGCGAGATCGAGACATTCAGAACCTGCAGGCTCAGGAGGAAGAGCGGGAATTTTATAATGCCAGGCGACGGGAGCACCGCCAGAAGAATGAAGTTAGCAGCAGTGGTCATGAGTCTCAGGAATTGGTTCCTCGGCCTGGTGGCAACAACAACAAAAAAGAGGTGCCTGTTAAAGAAAAACCAAGCTTTGAACTTTCTGGGGCACTTCTTGAGGACACCAACACCTTCCGGGGTGTAGTCATTAAATATAGTGAGCCCCCAGAAGCACGAATTCCCAAAAAACGGTGGCGTCTTTACCCATTTAAAAATGATGAGGTGCTTCCAGTCATGTACATACATCGACAAAGTGCGTACCTCCTGGGTCGACACCGCCGTATCGCAGACATTCCAATTGATCATCCATCCTGCTCAAAGCAGCATGCGGTCTTTCAGTATCGGTAAGTATACACATAGGAGAAGAAACTGAAGAACGAGCAGAAGCTGATTCTCGGTTAGTTAGGGTTACCAAGATCTGTGCACATGTCACAGAAGAATCCCATAGCCTTCATATCTAATATGGGTGTTGTTAATCTAAACTCCCCTTTGAATAATCGCTTACATTTGTATAAGAGCATTAAACTTGGTGTCAGACACTCAGATTTTGAATCCAGCCGCTGCCACTTAACCTGGGATAGTTCACTCTCTGGGCCTTAGTATTCACCTACCTCTCAGGGCTATTACGAAGGTTAAATGGCGATATAATTGAAAATGCCCAGCATGCATTAGCTTAATCTGGATCTTGATAGTATGCATAGGACAACTGCTGTTTGATTTTCACAACATTCCTGTGAGGAGGATAGGACAAGTATTAATATCCCCATTTGACAGATGAGAAAACTAAAGCTCAGCAAAGCCAAGCGACTTGCCTAATAAATTATCACCAGGGTAGAACTCTGGCTCAAATATAGCTCCCGTGACTCTGAAGTTCAAGTCTGCTTGAACTTCTTTTCCCATTTGGGCAGGAACTAAAATATTTTGAAACATAGATGAAAGAAGCATTATATTAATTATGAACAACAAGAAAAAATTTATTTTCTTAGCTATGGGCAATAGGCCTTGAATTCTGCATTTCAGTCTTCTGATCATGGATAGCCCCCAGCAACCAGTTCTCACCTTTTCTAAGTATATTTAAACTCCCAATTTCTCTATCCAGGGTTATACTTTGTCCTTGATTTCCTAGAGCTTTAACTTGAACTGTGTTCAAGCCAGGTTATTTACATCGTCTAGGGTGTCGTAGCAAAGAGCTTTGGAGAAGCTGGCTGACTTTACTAACAGGTTTCTCTCCTTTTTTTTCCACTAGGCTTGTGGAATATACTCGTGCTGATGGCACGGTAGGCCGAAGGGTGAAGCCCTACATCATTGACCTTGGCTCAGGCAATGGAACCTTCTTAAACAACAAACGTATTGAGCCTCAGAGATACTATGAACTGAAAGAAAAGGATGTACTCAAATTTGGGTTCAGTAGCAGAGAATACGTCTTGCTCCATGAGTCATCGGACACTTCTGAAATAGACAGGAAAGAAGATGAGGATGAAGAGGAAGAGGAGGAAGTATCTGACAGCTAGCAACTAAGAACCCAAACTATTGAGCCACCTTTTCCTTCTTGGAAGGCTTTGATTGACTCAGAGCACCTTGGTGCTCTTTGTAATGCCTCTTACTGCCTTAAGTCTTTCCTCTGTTGCTGACCAGCTTATGTTAACAATTTAAGAACACTGGCTTAAGTTTGGAACTTTTTTCTGTGGCACATCAGCCATATGCCTGGGGGCATTTGTTTTCAGAACAGTCTCACCAACTACAACACATCGTGTTTTAATAGAAGCATTGTGGCTTTAGTTGGTGCTGCAGGAACTGCTGCTTAGGAAACTTAGTTAAGGGGGAATCGTGGCTTGTTCTTTTTGTAAAATTACTTTATTTATTTAGTTGTTAAGATTTGTGGACCGGGTATTTTTGTTTTGGGGGCAAACCCCTGAGCAGAGAATCTTACTAAGCTTTGGTTGTCACCAAAACAGCCTCCAATATATACCAAAGCTTTGACCTGGTTGAGCTTTTGAGTTGTAGAGGTTGATTTTGCACTTCATTTTTGGTGGGTGGGAACTTACTGCAGTCAATAAACTTTATTGACTGTTTTTAACTTAAGCAGATACTTTGTGGCATCGGCTTAAGACTATGGCTATACAGAAAGATCATGGCTACTACGAACGAGTGCTGATTCAGTATCACAAGAGACTGAAATGGGTCATGGATCTGTTCTCTATGAGAGTTCCTGATTTTCCATGGAGCATGTATATAACACTTTTGATCATATTAACTCTTCTTCAGTTTTGCATTTTATCTCCCTCATTTTTCTTTGAGAAATGCCCTGTCACTTATGTGGCAGAGTCCTTACTTTATTCTAACAACATGTGTATATGTCTAAAGGACATTGTGTTTTTACATGTCTCTACACAATTTATCCTTTAAAAATGTGTTCAGAGAGGTTGTATTATGTTCCCAAGGCTGGAAAACGGGAATCTTCCGGTTCCCTAATTTTCTACCAGAGGAATATATGTAAGTAGAAAAGTATTAACTACTTACATGTAGTGTCTACGTATGTGTATACATACACACACACATACACACACACATACAAATTGTATGTTAAAGAGCTGATACTGATTTTCATATGACAATGTTAGGCAAAGACTTCCCTGCATTTGAAGAGCAGGTTTTCATTTATATGTATTTTTGGGATAAAAAATAATAAAATTGTAAATATTGCCCCATTTCAAAGAGTTGACTACTTTCCTAGCATAGAGGACCTGATGTTTACAGGACCTGGTCTGTTTGCTGCTAAAGGAGTCTGTATCAGTATTTTTGAGATAAAAATAGTTGTGTAGGGTGCTGTGGGGCAGGTTATATGTCAGTGAAATACCGTTGTCCTCAGGTGATGATGGGGATAGGTTGGGGAGAAAGGAGATGGAACTCAGTCAGTGTTGCTACTAACTGTTCCTCATAGGTTTAAACTTACTATGCTATTAGGTTGTCATATTTTTCACAGTAGGGTCTCACATACCCATGTGTGCTCAGGACTAAAGGTTGGCTAGTGTGGGGAGGGACAGCTGACTAATAATTTGTTCAAAAGAAATTAAAATGTTCTCTGAAGAGTGAACACTTATTAAGGTTATTTGATGAAAGGTAAAATGAAGGGTGTGTTCTACATTGGCCACGGTAATTTTGATTTGTGCCATATATCACATATTACAAAGCTGTGTCTCTGAAAAGTTGGTTTTGTTCTGATGCATTTTTCTCTTGATCCAAACAGACGGTTTTCTTCTCTCTCTGGGATAAGGCACTAATCTGATATCTTACTCACTACTGCTTCCTGCTAGCATTGAACTTTGCTTCAAACTCCCTCCTGGGATAGATACCACTTTGCCTACATATTTCAATAAGATGTCCTGGGTGTATAGTCAGCTTTTATTTTAGTAGAGGGATAGCCTACTAGATTAAGAGAGTCTTCATGCCTCACATCTGGTAAGGTATTTTTTGTGGGTTTTTTTTTTTTTTTTTTGAGTTGGAGTCTCACTTCCGGCCACCACAGCCTCGACCTGCTGGGCTCTGGTGATCCTTCCGCCTCAGCCTTCCAAGTAACTGGAATTACAGGCGTGCGCTACCACGCCCGGCTGATTTTTTGATTTATTGTAGAGATGAGGTCTCGCTGCCCAGGTGGGTCTCGAATCCGCGGGCTCAGGCAATCCACTCACCTCAGCCTCTCAAAGGCGCGGGATTACAGGCTGAGCCACCGAGCCCGGCTTGTGGTTGTTTTTAATGTGAGGAGAAAGACACTACCCATCTCCAAAGACGGGTATCATCAGCAGACTTCTCATTTGAAGCTGACATAATTCTAAAACTTTCTTTCTGAATTCTGTTTAGAAACTCATGTCCATCTTAGCTGTTGGCAACTTTTTCATTCTCTACATTTAGCTGTTTGCAACTTTTTCATTTTCTACATTTTCTTCGCTGTGGTTTGTCTAAATCATTACTGTCAAAATCAAACTATATTCTTTCTTTTTTTCTTTTTCTTTTTTGTTGTTAGTTGGAGTCTCACTCTATCACCCAGACTAGAGTGCAGTGGCATGCTCATGGTTACCGCAGCCTGGACCTATTGGGCTCAGATGATCCACCTCAGCCTTCCAAATAGAACCACAAGTGCACACCACCATGCCCGGCTAATTTCTTGATTTATTGTAGAGATGAGGTCTTGCCAAGTTACCCAAGCTGGTCTCGAATCCCTGGGCTCAGGCAATCTTCTCGCCTCTGCCTTCTAAAGAGCTGGCATTAAAGGTGTGCGCTCGGCTAAAATCAAACTGTTTTAAAAACAGCTCTTTGCTTCTGAGCTACTCCCTCAAGTCTTCTGATGGTCCACAATTCTGTGGAGGCATAGAACAGAATCTTTTTTTTTGCGTATAAGTCTCACTCACCCAGGAAGGAGGGCAGTGGCACTCTCTTGGCCACCGAAGCCTCAACATGCTAGGCTCAGGCTATCCTTCCACTTCACCTTCCAAGTAGCTGGAACTATAGGCACAAGCCACGATGCCTGGCTAATTCTTTGATTTATTGTAGAGATGGGTGTCTCACCAAACTGCCCAGTCTGGTCTCGAACCTGTGGGCTCAGGTAATCCTCTCACCTCAGCTTCCCAAGGACTGGGATTATAAGTGTGAGCCATTGCGCTGGGCCTGGAATCTTTATATTTTCCCTTCAAACCTCTTCCTAGTTATATGCTGGTTCCCTCATTCTAATAGTTTGAAGAATAGCTCATTAAGTGCAACTGGTGATGTAACTCAAATATTTGTGTTGTGTCCTGGTAATAAAGCAGAAGTGATCAACTGAGATAAGATTTTTAAAAAATTATTTGAGTATGCCAGTACATAATATGGCTTGGTTTTTAAAAAGCTTAGAATTTAAATATATATTTCAGGTTGATTGTCATTTGCTAATGGTGAACAGATGGTTATATATATTTCTTAACATCCTTCCCATTGTGGAAATTAGTTTTGGATCTGAGGAACAAAATTATGTCATGTTAATTGAGATGTGACACACACAACGTACCAGCAATGCCTGCTTGTGAAATAATGTTCTGAGCCCACAGTGTTCCTGGGCATGTGAGTTTATATCAACTGAAAAGGCTACGTAACTGAAATTAAAGTTTTAGAATTTAAAGCTTAATTTGGTTTCTTGGGTAAAGCTTCCGGTGTATTTATCAAATAGGATATAATTTTAGAAGACAGTTAATTTGTTTACATTAACTCTAAAGTGAATTAATTCAATCCTCAGCAGTTGGATACATTTATGCAGTTGGTTTATAGCTGTGAGGGATAGTCAGGCATGCCTGAAGTCACAGCTACTGAGGAGTCTGGGGTGGGGTTGGGGGGAAATAACTTGAGCCCAGGAGTTTTGTGACTAGCTTGGGTGATAGGGTAAGACTCTCCCCTCCTCTATCTCTTAAAAAAGAAATGGAATAATAATTTGGAGGTGTGTTGCACCTTGTGGAAGAGATGACAGTTGAGATGTGCCTCAGAGAACAGGTTGATTTCCAGCCGGTAGTAAAGGAGGGCTTTGTGCCAGGCAGAACAGTCCAGGGAAGGCAGGGCTGGAGTGGAGAGTGTGCAAAAGGCCCTATCATGTGAAATCATTTCCCTAAAGCCCCATGGCAAGTCAGTGGTAGAGATGGGACAAGAAATTGCCTCAGTCCTGCTCAGTCAGTGGTCTTTCCACTGGACTGCTCCTTCCTATCTGCAGAGCTTAGTGGAGAGATTTGAGGAAGGAAAAGTACTGATTCATTAGGTTGCCCCGTTCACAAGGAGTTCAAGGAAAACGCAGAAAGACCTAGGCTTTCTGGAGCGGGAAGTGGCTTAGGCAAGTCCTCACCTCACTGAGTCCCAGCCAGAACCACTTGGAAATCATTGTGTTGATTCATAAAAATAAACATTGCTGAAAAAATGTCATGAACTGGACAACACTGGCTGAATGTGTTGGTCACACCTGTAATCCCAGCACTTTGGGAGGTTCAGGAGGAGGGTCGCTTGACCCAGGAGTTTGAGACCAGCCTAGGCAACATGGTGAGGTCTCATCTCTACAAAAAATAAAAAATAAGTTAGCCAGTCATGGGGGGCATGCTCCTGTAGCCCTAACTACTTGGGAGACTGAGGCAGGATTGCCTGAGATGAGGAGGCTGAGGCTGCAATGAGCTGTGATCATGCCACTATACTCCAGCCTGGGCAACAGAGACCCTGACTCGAAAAAGGGTAGGGCGTGGTGGCTCAGCCTGTAATTCCAGCACTTTGGGACCCTGAGGTGAGAGGACTACCTGAGCCTGAGGGTTCAAGACCAACCTGGGCAACTTGGTGAGAACTCATCTCTGCATTAAATCACAAAAATTAGCTGGGCATGGTGGTGTGCATTTGTAGTTCCAGCTACTTGGAAGGCTGAGACAGAAGGATCACCTAAGCCGAGCAGGTCGAGGCTGCAGTGGCCATCAGCATGCCACTGAACTCCAGCCTGGGTGACAGAGTGAGATTCCAACTCAAAAAAAAAAAAAAGAAAACTGGACAATATTGAGTATTTTCTATGTACCAGGCACAGTTCTAAGCATTTTACATATGTACTACTTCATACATAAACTCATTTCATCCTAATAACCCAGTGAGAATGTCTCAATTATCTTTCCATTTTGCAGATGGGAAAACTGAGGCACAGAGAGGTTAAGGTCACATTGGTAGGTAGGATTAGGATTCAAACCCAGTCACTCTGGTTCCAGATTCCATGTTCTTGACCACTGTGCTACACTGCTTCACACAGTCTTGAGATGTAAAGAGTCTGGCCCTTGGAGGGCAATTACAGTAGCAGCCACTGACAGTGCTAGATAAAAGGTGCACTCACTGAGGGGTTGTGAAGGCATAGAGAATTTGGGTTTACAAAGCCTTGGGAATCAGGGAAGGATGAGCAGTGAACCAGAAGAGATCAGGTGGAATGAAGAAAGAAAGAGAAGGACACTCAAATGCCTATGACATAAACTAAGGAATGAAATTTTGGAAGAACTTGATGTCCAAAGGTGGTGAGTGGGTTTCTGATACTGATGGACTAAGTTACTGTGATGAACCTTCCTGCTGAAAACAGCTACAACTTCTAGATGAAATAAAAACAAAAAGTTTCTTAAGAGCATCGAAAACCTGAAAAAATTAGTAAAAAGTAATCAGGCCAAAAGTGAAGATACAAGAATCCAGAGAGAAATTGAGTATAGATGCCTGGAAATCATATTTGCTCTAAAAGACAAGTCATATTTAACTCTAGCAAATTGGACCTTTCTCTAGGTTGGATGAGACAGAAATCAAAACCCAAAGCCCACATACAAAAGGGATCTATTGGAAGATGTTTCCCCAGAAATACAAAGCACAAAAAAAATTGGCACATCAAAGCAACTTTTAGAGTAAAAGGGTGGGTCAGAAATAAAATCTTCTAGGAATTTGCAGCCGGTACTATTAGTATCTCCCAACTGCCCATCTGATAGGAATTGTCAACCTAAATAA